TTGACAACTCAACATTCACAAGAATGCAGAGGACCTATCTCACGGCCTGTGTTGATGAACTATGGAAGGAACAGCAAGCAACATTGATAAATGAATTCCGAGATAAGGATGTCATTCTATTAGGTAATGAAAATGGTTATCTAATTTATTTTATTTAGATTTATAAACTCTCTTTGGACAGGTTCTTCTTGTGTTATATGCACTGCAGATACATATTGAATATCCTTTGAAATTGCTGTGACTGTGAGTTTTTGCGTAAATTATTGTCATATATAAATCTTCTTAGCACTAGTATAATAGTTTTGTTTGCTGATTTTCTTAAGGTGATGGAAGAATGGACAGTCCAGGCCATTGTGCACAGTATTGTACATACACAATGCTGGAAAATGATACGAAAAAATGTATTTCCATTGCTACGTTAGACAAACGGGAGACGGCTGGGAAGAGTACAAACCTGGAAAAGGCAGGATTCCTTCACACTATTCAAGAATTGAAAAGGAAGGGGATCAAATAACTGAGGTGGTGACAGATGCTCATATGCAAATTGGATCTGTCATGAGTTAGTATTAATAGAAAATAATAGGACTTGAACCTGTAGTGGTAGATTATGTTAGCATATATACAAGACAGATATATGATTTTTTTGAATTTTTTTTGGCTGTACAAAACAGTTCAACATTAATTTTTACTGCGATAGGACTTGAACTAACATACCATAATTGCATTGGTTGGTATTTCTGAAATTTCATCACAATTAACATAGAGAGTGAACACTGAGTTATGCATGGTGTGTATCAATCAATATATCATGTAGTAACACTTTGACAGTTCCTTTCTTGTGAACAGGAAAAACATTATTTTTACTATTACTTTCACAGAGAAACAGTTTCCCAATATAAAACATTCACACGATATATGGCATGCTGCAAAGAACCTTGGCAAGAAGATAATTGCTGTAAGTGTTCATAGTAAGAGATTATTGATTACAAATTTAAATGTAGTGTTGACATGCAAGTAATTTGGACTAATCCTACTTAGACATTTAGCTTTGCTTTGACATTAAACGTGTACATTTTTCTGAAAAAATTCTTATAACCACTACTATAATCAGTAAGCATTATGCTCATATGAAATGTAAATAATACAACTATGATCTTTACAGGACTGTGCAGTACTTTTACAGTACATTTTTATATTACACCTTTTGCTTTTGTAATGAAAATCTTATTGTAATTTATAGTGCTACTACACTTATTATCCTGCTTCAAGAAAGACATGAAGCTAATTGTTATGTTTGATAATGCTTAAAATATGATTCAACATTGTCACTTCAGGCTGGACAGGACAAAAAATGCACATCATTGCAGAAATGGAGTCGAGATATTATTAACCACTTTTGGCACAGCTGTAAAATGGCAAGCACTTATGAAGAATTCTTGGTAATTGAAAGCTTTCATACTTACCCTTTATAACAATATCCCCTAGAACAAAGCTCATGTTCTTTATATACAGTTTAGATATCACCTAGACAAAATTCAAGTATGTTCTTTATAATTATGTTCTTGAACATTAAAAAAAAAAGTGCTTTATATGTAAGCCTTTTCAGAAACAAAATATTTGCATGGAAAATGAGTATATTACCTTTATATAATTTCAGGAAATATGGGGTGGAGTGCTACACCATGTCATAAATGAACATCAGTGGGCAATGTCATATAATGCTATTGCTTTTGGTGAATGTTCCCATGGTGACCTTAATGATGCCAGAGACAACAAAGAATGGTTGGAAGCGGGAGGCCCAGCGCATACAGCCCTTAGAAAACTTGTCCTTAACAAAAGACTTCTGAACTGTGTACCTTACTACCTAAATTTTCGGTAGGAACTAATTCGCATATTTTTTACCTTGTGAACAAGAGTGATTACATAACAGTTTTCCATACACTTTTGCAGCTTATCATTTTATTTCACAGTATTGTCATATTGAAAACTGTTGTAACTACTGGATGCGGGTGTGTTAAAAATGTGTTGAAGTTTCACAGTTTAAAAGATTTCTTACATAAATGTGGGTTTGTTGTTAAATTGATTGCCAGCATAATGTCATCTTTTATATAGTTCATTTATAATATAAATATGTGTTTTGCTTTGCTTGAGGAATGAGTATAATATTGGATAGCATTAAAATTCACCATTTGTCTGCCCTATCACAAGCACACATTGTTAGTCCATTTTGACCAAATTTCAAAGGTGCACTTTGTGAAACAAATCCTGTTCATTGTACAACATAAACTTTCCACATTTTCAAATGCTTCTCCAAAAAAAATCTTGTGAACAGAAAGTGACAGATCTTACAAGTTTCATTTTAAGCATTATGATGCTGAAATGTATATAAAGATTGTTTCATTTGTGACCATTGGGCCATCAATAGGGTCATTCTATGGGAACAAAGTTTATAAGGCTATTAATTATTTGTTGATGATTTCATATTTATTCTTGAGAATTGAAAGTGACAAGGCTTTTTTTATCTTCAACAATAGGAGCACTGCTGAACTGGAAAATTTCCAAAATCACATACTGATGAATGCTGCCAAAAGATTTGCCTTCTCACCTCCTGTATACAAAGCTAGAAATCAGTTGGCAGCAATGGACCATAATGAGAATATTGACAAGCCTGCAATGAAAAATAAAGACGGAACTACAAGGTACAATACAAAGATTTATTGAAAAACCAATATTTCTGAGTATTAACCAGTTTTGTAGCATGTTTATACGTGATTAGCAAGAATAAAGTTTTGTCAAAGCACCATACATGTAATTCATAAAATAAACAAGATAAAGAACCTATGTTCTCTGTTTGAAGTAGAAATATCTGTAACGGGTTTGTGTTATTACATGTAATATAACTTGATGTTATTTTGTGAATAACTTTTAAAATTGTTTCCAAAAGAGCTGTATACCATATACCATGTAACATTTCTTGAAATGCTTCATACACGACTGTCTATGACATTTTCTTATTAGTTTTTGTCGATTATTCGTGGTCTGACAACATGCAGAAGGATATCAATTTTGTTTTGTGAAGATAACGAAGTTCACAATTTCTTGAACATATTATTGAAGTTGTTAAAAAGTTTCTTGTTGCATATGACATCAGATATACAACATCCTATACAACAAAGCTAGAAATCAGTTGGCAGCAATGGACCATAATGAGAATATTGACAAGCCTGCAATGAAAAATAAAGACGGAACTACAAGGTACAATACAAAGATTTATTGAAAAACCAATATTTCTGAGTATTAACCAGTTTTGTAGCATGTTTATACATGATTAGCAAGAATAAACTTTTGTCAAAGCACCATACATGTAATTCATAAAATAAACAAGATAAAGAACCTATGTTCTCTGTTTGAAGTAGAAATATCTGTAACGGGTTTGTGTTATTACATGTAATATAACTTGATGTTATTTTGTGAATAACTTTTAAAATTGTTTCCAAAAGAGCTGTATACCATATACCATGTAACATTTCTTGAAATGCTTCATACACGACTGTCTATGACATTTTCTTATTAGTTTGTGTCGATTATTCGTGGTCTGACAACATGCAGAAGGATATCAATTTGGTTTTGTGAAGATAACGAAGTTCACAATTTCTTGTACATATTATTGAAGTTGTTAAAAAGTTTCTTGTTGCATATGACATCAGATATACAACATCCTATTTTGAACAGATACAGAAGAACATACAATAAAAAATCTGGCAGGTGGACTGTCCACACAGTAAAGGAGAAGAAAACATATGAACATGTCAAGTGCCTAAAGTCCAGAATTGTTACAAGGAGATTAGAGGGCCGTGTTGGAATGCATGGGAAACGAGTGTTAGCAGAGGATGATCCAAGGAGATTACAGAAGAACATTGCACCAGTACCACCACCGCCAACTTTAACACTTGTAGAAGAGAAAAGATCAAGACTGAATTAATTACTTACACAATTTTATTTCAAGAGCATCCAATGCTATTATATGTTTTTCCATGACATTGTTATTTGTCTGTGTGTATGCATATGAACAGTAATGGAAATATATGTAATGATTAACCTAGGCATGTTGACTTGAAATGTAGTTCAGATTTAACACTACAATGTATATAAGTGTTTGTGTCACTGAATTTCAATGTCTGAGCAAATTCACCAGAACAACTCTTTTCATATAATAACTTCCACTGATTTGTACAAAATATAGTGTTTCACATAATAACTTCCACTGATTTGTACAAAACATAGTGTTGGTATCCACTATCAACTGTGTTGGTATAGCATGTTAGAATTCTTGCATTTTTTACGATCAAAAGAATTGTAAACAACAATGTTCCTGTAATAATGGGGAATAATGATGAAGAATAATGTTCCTGTAATAAGGGGAACAACAAAGTTCCTGTAATCACGAGGAACAACAAAGTTCCTGTAATCATGAGGAACAACAAAGTTCCTGTAATCATGAGGAACAACAAAGTTCCTGTAATCATTGGGAACAACATAGTTCCTGTGATCATGAGGAACAACAAAGTTCCTGTAATCATGAGGAACAACAAAGTTCCTGTAATCATGGGGAACAACATAGTTCCTGTAATCATGGGGAACAACACAGTTCCTGTAATCATGAGGAACAACAAAGTTCCTTTAATCATGAGGAACAACAAAGTTCCTGTAATCATGGGGAACAACATAGTTCCTGTAATCATGGGGAACAACAAAGTTCCTGTAATCATGGGAACAACAATGATCTGTAATAATCGGTAACAACACTGTTCCTGTGTGAATTGTCATGGGAAAGACAATTTTTCTGTAAACATGTATATTATAGTCATGATAAAACCAAACACCAACTGTCATTCAACCAAGGTGTCTACAGACTGGCATTACATTTAAAGCTAATTACATTTGGGAAAAACATAAAAAATGCTACATGTTTCAATAAACCTATTCAAATGTGAGTTATTTTACTCAAGTCTGGATGGAACAAACCCAACATACTGTCCATACTGATCTGGGTACTTGTCCCGTATAGCCCAGACACAACAACTCGGAATAACAGCCCGAACACCGGCCCCAAGACGTCCATGTTGCCACAATACAAACTGTCTATAGGCTGCATGTCTGTTACCCCTGTTGTAGTCATCGTCATTTGGAATGGCTAACACATCCTGTCTGTATAGCCTTGCTACTGCCAGCACAGCTTCATGGAGTACAATCACTCTGAAGTCCTGGAAAAATAAGTTACCGAGTATAAGACGTATGCATGTAATGTTTATATGAAAATAATTTACCGTAGTTAAATATTTCCGTTTGTTTTTTGTATTCTGAGGGAATCTGAATGTCATTATAAAGTTGATGTGAAAGATTTTTTCAGACATAGACTTTGCTGTTATTTTCAATAGTACTTTGTCTTCCTATGCATTATATATGACTGGTGAATGTCATAAAAATGCATAAAGTCCATATGCATGACATGGCACACTAACTAGTAACTGTTATAACTTTCAACTGTAAATTTGTTTTCAAATATAAAAGATTGTGTTGTAGCTAGATCATGATTTTAGGTTAAAGTCCTTTTGCAAAGATAATTTTTGTTTCTTTTAGATATTTTATTTATTATGGTCCATCCCATTTTGTAAGTTTGTGTTCTTCAGTATAAAACTTCGGTGGAATTGTAATTAAAAACTGAGTATATTAACCTTTCATCGTTGACATTGAGAAGCTATGAGCATTATATTCACCACCGTGACATTTGTCATTCTTTATGACACAGTTTTATTATTAAGGTGTTATAGTATGCATGAATATTACAGTATGTTTAATCCGGAGAACATTTTGGTTACTCACGGGCATTAATGTAGTACAAAGTTCTGGTGTATGCCGACAACAGCGCCTCTCTACTTCTGTTGGCATATCACGGCAATTGCCACAGGAACACCAGTCTGGTGCTACACTACCTGGTGGGGGATGATGGCCTCCCATGCCTGGGGCGTCATTAATATCAAAAATGATACTTGGAAACTTTAATGCAGTTTCAATGAGCAAATGTTTGGCATCTGTTTCGCTCATTGTTAATTAAAATGTTCCATAATATACCAATTCAAATTGAAGAAAGTCAACTGTAAGAGGTTACTGAGGAAGGCTGTAATGTACTGTTTTTTTACAAAAATCTATAGTATGGAGAAATATCATTTTTAGCTCACCTGGCCCAAATATTACAAGTGTGAGATTAATACCAGGTGAGCGATGCAGGCCCATTTGGGCTCTTGTTTACATAAGGTTTAAATTATATTTATTTGTATATTACATATAAGTTTTTAAAATAATATAAACATGCATGTACCTCAAGTGACCTTCTTCGTTCTTCTTGTTCCTGCCTAGCCAACTCTGCACTGGTTGGTGCTGGGGCCCTATATTGTCCTCGACCACGCCCCCGCCCCCGAACTCCACGCCCAGGACCTCGTCGCCTTGATGGCCTCCCACTTGCCCGTGTACCCCTACCCCGCACCATTGGACTTGAGCTCCCACCACTCTCTTCATAATCCCTATTCTCATCGCTGTTACATGTACTAGACTAATATAAAAAGAACATTTTTTAATCATAAAATATAAATATGTGCAATACATACACAAGTTTGTTGATAATTTGAAAAGGAGAAAGAAGATCATAATTCTTATAGTACCATATTGACCGTTTTTAGCTTACCTGGGCTGAAGGACCAAGTGAGCTTATGCCGTGGTGCGGCGTCCGTCAGTCTGTCGTCAATATTCTACTTTAAACGACTTCTTCTTAATCACCAAAAGGCCTTGGATGATATTTTGCCAGTAACATGCTGGGATGAAGGGCTACCAAGTTTGTTCAAGCAAATGACCTTCCCCAATTTTCAAGTTGACAGGGGTCAAATATGTTTAAAACTTTTAAACAACCTTTTCTGAATTACCAAGTGGCCTAGGGTTATGATATTTTGCCAGTTAGATGCTGGGACGAAGGGCTACCAAGTTTGTTCAAATGAATGACATTCGCTCATATTCAAAGTCACAGGGATCAAATATGTTTAAATCATAAATGACTTGTTCTGAATATTCAAAAGGTCCAGTGTAATGATATTTAGCCAGAAGTATGCTGGGACGGAAGGCTATAAACTCTGTTCAATTTAATGTCCTTGTTCGACTTTCAAGGTCACAGGCATCATATGTTTAAATCATTAAATAGATTCAAATGAATCGAACACAGATATTTTGTCTGTAGCTGTATATCGTCCACTTTTGAGATTATAAGTGTGACATTAATACCAGGTGAGCGATTCAGGCCCATTGGGCCTCTTGTTAACTTTTGTGGTACATTTTACAATGTTGCATAACTAGCTACAACTTAGTACAAGGCCAACACACAGTCATAATGCTTAAAGTCACCATAACCTAAATATTGTAGTTTGAATTACTTGACTATATACAAGATTAATATTGTAGTCCAGCAGCTATGAGACATCGGTTAGAACC